AAAAATAAAAAGCTAAAAAACGGATAGATATATTCGGAAGCTATAATTTTTTGTGTGTTTTAGCTTATAAAAGAGAAATTATTAAGTTGTTTATGACAAGCGGTGGGTGGCAGACTTGAAAGTTAAACAAAGATCTGCGTCTATTGATACTGAACTGTGTTCATAGTTGTAATACCGTTGAAGAGGTGCTGCGACCGTGCCTATGGATATAACTTAATTTGAAGTTGAGCGAAAGTGGTGGACATCAAATTGAAGTCAGTTGTTATTAGATATGAGACACTCTTGTGAGTGCGGAGAAGCTTCTTGTATGCCACCGCAGCTGTCCGTAAGCATTGTTTTATCGCTGCAAATCAGTTCAGTGCAGTTCACTTCATTGTTATTGAGGAAACGATACGCAAGCGCCTTTGAGCTCCCTATTGGTGACATAGTGACTGAAAATGCAACGATACTGTAAAAAAATGCAAACGGAGGTCGGTCACGTGATTGCAAGTGAAAAAGTTATCACCCATCAGTTAGGGGAAAATTGTGAATTTATGCGGTTACTCACTCATACCTAGTAATGTAATTGTATAATTATAGTATATGGGCTCGTAGGCGATGCCAGTGACACGAACTATTCGGTGGGTGAAAATCAAAAAACGGCAGACACTGAAAATAGTCCTTCTGCAGTTCTCGGAAACTACAGAGGTTTTGAATGCGAGTAGCTGACTGTAACTTAAAGGAAATAGGTCAAGATTAGCTAAACTTGTTTCATAGCGTAGTGAGCTCTGTCCGATCACAAGCTTTGTTGCACGCCTTTGAACCTTTTCGAGAGAATTGAGGTCTTTCGCAGTCCAGGGTCTCCATGCTTGGATAGTGAACTCCAGTTTCGGTCACACAAATATTCCAAAGACCTTAACGCAGCTGTCTTTATCAAAGGCAGAGTAAGCCCGTTTGACAAGGTACAGGACGGTCATCGCAGATTTCGCTACTTTTGCACAGTGCAGCAAGGGCGTAAGCGAAGTCTCGATCCAAATTTTCAAATGTTTTTGCGCGTCCACTTCATGCAGTTGGATGCCATTCAGGCAGTAAACCACGGGATTCTGAGAGCTGGGCCGGCCAATTCTTAGGATACTACACTCTATATCTATATATGTTTATTATGCTAGTTTACAGGCAATTTTAAAGAGTTGGTAGAGCACCTCTTGGGCGCCTTCCAACATTTTTGTTTCAATTTTGTGTTTTGTCAATACTGGGCGAGATAGGGAGTTTGTCTTTGTTTCAGGTTTTGTGTTTTGTCAATGCTGGGCGAGATAGGGAGTTTGCTAGGACCGGAAAAAACCTAAAACAAACTCCCTATGTTGCAGCCAGTATTGGTTTTCTCGAAGACCGGAAAAAAACCTAAAACAAACTCCCTATGTTGCAGCCAGTATTGGTTTTGTTTCCATTCTGTGTTTTGTCAATGCTGGGCGAGATAGGAAGTTTGCTTCAAGTGAAAAAACCTGACTTCGAAGGTACGATACAAACGGAATACATATA